AATCTGCAAACTGTTCTGCCAATATGCATCTTCTTCATCCAGCACGTCCAATAAATGCGTCATACCTCCTCGAAAAGCAATCCAACAACCGAACCAGGTAACAATTAACCCCTGGCAGCTAAACGGGGAAAATTACCGCGCGTAATTCCCACACCACCCGATCGATCGGCCGACCGGTGAAGCAAGGCTGCTACATCACCTCTCTCCCTGATCTAGATCATCTGCGCCCGCGGGAGCAGACAGCCCGCAAACCGACTCGAATCCGATTGAGCCGAGCTGTTCCACACATGCAGCACACACCGCCAAGCGTAACATTTTATCAATTTCATGCGAAACTTTCCCCGTTGCTACCTCCCGCATCGGAGCCCACGAAAACCTTCGCCCTCTCAAATGAGAAAATACTGTTAATCTTCTATTTGGAATATAATTATAACATTCGCTGCTCTTCGCAAGCCCACCTTCCCGCCCCCAGTTTCTTGGTGTTGGTCCAGCCAGCCACTTTCATTCGAAAACTCCTACACCACCGCCACGCCGCCGCGCCAGTCAGTGCGTTCTCATTTCACACATCGATCATCGTGCCCATAAACATATCGAAGTGGTTTTTGGAGCCCGTGAAAACAGAAAACAAAACAGAGCAACAGTGCAACTCATCATCATCATCGTCCAAACTCGTCAAAACTCGTACACTGGCCAGAGAGTCGAGTCCCACTGTATAAGAAGCATAATTTTCCTAATGTTATGTTAATCGAAAAACAAATATTTGCGCCCCTCCGCCGCCGCCTGCCAGCCGGCTTGGAAAGGGTCTCTTTTGGCACCTCTCGGCTGTTGAACTGGTGGCTCTGGCTCCAGCTGTTGCTGGTGCCGTCTGGATCGGACAGTTATGGGACCGATCATCCAGCTAATTCGAACATGGAAAGCAACCTTAGCTGTGGTCGGTTGGATGGTGGACCTTCGACGTATGCATATATTGTTGAATTTTACAAATGTCCAATCCCAAAAGGGTTGTCGCACATAATTTCCTGTCAAATGTCTTAACTTGATCACATCACAACTTCCGGCAACTTTTTCGGTATGATTACTGATTGTGTCTGCTTCCATGAGATGTTTTAAGGGACAGCTTACTCAGAGACAAACCGACATGACACTCAATTCTGACTTATGCCCGAACATCGTAAACGGCCGATTTAAATGTGCAGTGATCCAAACTGTCAAAACCATAGGATTTTTTGATCTAGATGAAAATAATTTATCCAGAATAGATCAGACACGAGCCAATTCATAACTTTTGCATGTGGGTTCATGGCTTAGCTATATATTTCCGGCGAACACGGAGCCAGATGTCATTGATTCTTTTTGCTCCTTTGCGCGTTTTGATTCTTTTTTTTTATAATGGAAATCTTTTTTTTTTCTCCTTAGCTTCCTTAAAAAATTACATGCAAATATGTTTTGTATATCATCGTGAAAAAATGGGACCCTCTACAAAACCAAAAGGTTGATGTTTTGTGGTTTTGGAGTCCATTTTTATGACATGATTACTTACGAAAAATGTGTTTGCATGTGAATCTTGTTAAGAAAAAAAATTAAAAAACATATTTTGTTAATATTTTTCATATTTTTGCTCGATATTTTTCGAAAAATCAATGCGTAATTAATTTTCAGAGCGGTGAACTTCCCCTTAATATCATTTTAATTTTTTTTTTTAATTTTGGAAAAAGATATAAAAAATTTAATAAAAAACACTTTTTTCTTATTTTTCAATTAAAAAATAACGTGGAAAAACATGATTTGTAAGTCATCATGGCATAAAGTTTAAATCCAAAAAACACAAATCATCGATCTTTCGGTTTTGCTGAGAGTCCATTTTTTCAGGAACCGATAGCAAAAAAAATTTACGTTTAAATTTTTTCAGAAATCTAAAGAAAAATCTGTTTTTCTTGGATTTTTGATAAATTGTTCCAAAATTTTTCGCGCCGAAAATAAAAAGTTTAAAATGACTTAACACACCAAAGTATCCTAGAGATCCTATAGACCATAGCTTAGTCGGTAAAAGCGTAGATACAAAGCAAGACCATGCTGGAGGCGGTTGGGTTCAATTTCCGATGTGGTCGAGGAATGTTTCGGGTTGATGAAAATGCTATAGACCTACAGAGTTACCAAAAGTACACGAGAATATGAGAAAATTGAACATGGAATGTGGAATTTCGGAACATCAGACTTCTGATAAGTTATCAGGATTAAATTGCCTATAATGAGCATGAGCATGAGTACGGTTGACCGCCCGTGGATTCAACTCTGTTATTTCCAGATCAGCTGTAATTACACAGAGAACCAATAGATGTTGCTTGGGGCTAGCGATCTTCCTCAATGTGTAAATACCGGGGATCTAAAACTAGCAATACCAGCGCCGGCTACGTTGGAATGTTGGTCAAGAAAAGAATGGGTAGGAATATGTTGACGTAATACTCTCTTTAATGAAAGCCGAGAACACCTCTGTGTAGTGGGTGACCTCGGCGTAGTGGTTAGCATCCATACCTCTTCTCACGCCAAAGTCACGAGTTCAAATCTCACCCCCAGACAAGTCACGAATGACCCAAGAGCGTTAAAGTGACTATAATAAAAAGAAAAAGAAAAAAAAATGCCTCTGCTGTAAACGAGGTGCAGAATTGCTGTCCTAACAATTCACTAAATATCGCGAAGAAGCTTGGGTTTGAACCCACGGACTTCTGCTCAGTAAGCAATATCGGTCACCACCAGGCCACCCAGCTCCTTATATTACAAAACAATTATGATCAAGTTTCCGTTCAACTTGTTGTTTCTACGTTTCGATGCCGGCGGTGACCTAACCGACGACGACAACAACTACTCTTGAGAAGGATTTGCGATGGATTTCCGATCAAAACGTCTTACCTAAATCTCAAATATTACTTTCTTTACGTACCCGGCTCTCCAACCGAATTTTGTTACGCTTTACATCATATTATGAAAGAAAGTTGTACCGTATGCGTGATAATGTTTGCACCATTGAGCAATGTAAAAATTAAAAAAAAAATCTCAAAAATTTCGAGTTTTTTTTTTTTTTTTTTCAAATGAGGGATGTTTCTCAAGGTCTTAAACTATGTTAATCATGGATCGAATTTCCACTTGCTGCAATTGCGGCCTCCACACGCTTCCGGAATGCATGGCAGGTTCTAATAATGTAGTCTGGATCCATTTCTCTCCAGGTCTGGGTCAATGTTTGTCTGAGGCTTTCTGTACTCGGGTGGCGTTTAGAACAGGCCTTGGCCTTCATGACGTGCCATTTTGAGTAATCCAGCAGATTAAGATCGGGGCTGGATGGCGGCCACATATCCTTCGCCCAGAACGGAAAGTGCGGTTCGAGGTGTGGCACGGAGCCCCATCTTGTTGAAATACAACATTTGGCTTCGGACCGTACTGTTCTTTGATCCACGGAAGAACATACTTACTTAAAATCCCGATGTAGATCTCCGTGTTGACCTTGTCGCCTTCTGGAATGAACACCGGGTCCATTTTTTTTTGCCATCGGAAGCCATCAATCCAAACACCATAACGCTAGCAGAATGCTTGGTCAGACACACGTTCTTGTGCTCGTCAGCCACATCTTTTACTGGAAGAGAACTAATATACCAGTCGGTTCTTTAATTTGATGCGGGTTCGATGGTAAACATACTCTCGTCAGTGAACAGGATTACCGGATTTTTTCGCTTAAGGAAGTTCAAGATTTTCTTGCGTCGTTCGACTCGTAGCTCTCGGATGCGGTTGGTAATCATGTGAGTTTTTTTCCGTGCCCTCGACTTCGCCCCGCAATCTTCCTTTACGATCTTCCGTGCCGTAATGTCACTGATCCCGTGTTCCTTTGCCATTTTCCTTATTGAACGCACTGGATTCACCCGAATCTTCCTTTTGATAGCAGCGATAACCCTCGGAACCCGAGCTGACCTCGGACGACCTGTGGCCACCTTCGTGGATAGTTGTCCTTTTTTTCTCGGTCTAAAACCCTTTTGACGGTCCACCGGGACACTCCCACGGCGATTGAAATGTCTTTTTGTGAACTAAGTGAATCATTTTCTTTTATACACAGCCTACTACGGTATGAGCTATAGGCTACGTGCATGCAAAGTAAACCAAGGCATTGTATGCACAGGTGAAACGGAAACTTTATTTGTACGATGGTGCAAACATTATCACGCATACCGTATAAGGTGAAGGATTGAACACATAATGTTCTGCTCAGTAAGCAAAATCGGTCACCACAAGGCCATCGAGCTCCTTATGTCACAAAACAATTACCACCAAGTTCCTGTTCAACGTTACTACAATAAAAACTATTCTTGAGAAGGATTTATTATAGATTTCCAATCAACGCGTCTTTCCTAAAACTCGAATATCGTCTCTTTTAAGTTCTCGTTCCACCAACCGAATTTCAATACGCTTTATCTTATTTCAAGAATAAATTCGATTCACTCTAAAACTCTATAATGTGAAGGAGATTGAACCCTTAATTTTCTGCTCAATAAGCAAAATTGGTCGCCACTAGGACACAAATTAGGATCAAGTTCCCGCTCAACTTGTTGCCTCTAGGTTTCGATCCTGGTGGCGACCTCACAGACAACGACAAACACTGCTCTTGAGAAGGATTTGATATGGATTTCCGATAAACACGTCTTAAGCAGACGATCTTCTATTCAGTAAGCAACAGTGGCAACCACAAGCTAGATGAGAACCTCATTTTTTTGAGTCGTTATTTGATTGAATTAAATTCAAACGAATAACTGCAAAGATCTCATCCGAATGATTTGTAATAAGCCAGCCTCCTTATGTTTCATAAGCTTAAAATCAATCGTTCTTAGAAGTTTACCGCTTACGATACATCCATATAGATTTCACTATCTCCTGGCCAGAAACTGCATCCCTATTACCAATCACACTCCATAAAATCAAGAAATCAAGAACAATGATAATAAAAGTCTAAGACCGTTTTAAAAAATGTGGAACGCTTAACGATTTTGCGTGTCATCTTTGGGCAGGGCCATGCTTATCTCCTCTGTATCGGTCCAATGCAAGTTGTATTCTACATTGGAAGTAAAACAATAATGTCATCATCATAAACCTCGATTCAAAGTAAAACGGTTTAATACACCACCGCGCCCCTGGTGGTTGGAACAAAAACGTTTGACAGGCATTTGTTGATGTTTCATTGACGAAAAAATTGGTGAAAAGTTTTTCTCGATTAATCGACGCATCCTGAAATTACGGATCATGGAACTTGAGGAAAAAAAAAAATTGTTCATAAACATCTAGAGAACCCTTCGTGGTTTGCCTCAAAAATAGCAAAAGTGTTAAAATTCCCAAAGTCAACGGTGAGTCTTGTAATCAAACGTTACAAGGATACTCTGAGTGTGGATAGACAAAAAGCGCATCTATCATAAAAGTAGCACTAGGGACAAAGAGCTGCGGAGAAAGGTGTTGAGGTACGTGAAAAGCAACCCTGGTGTCTTCATACGTGATTTGGCAAAGAAATACGATTCCAACTTTTCCACCGTGCATTAATCCTTTCAAGAAAAGGATATAAGTCTTTTTGTGCCAGTAAACATCCGAATCGCTCCCTGAAACAACATTTAGTGGCCTAAAAGCGAGCACGATTACTATACGAACGAGTTTTGACGAAATTTGATGACTGTGTTTTAATGGATGACGGAACATGTCAAAATCGATTATAAACAAATTCCCGGACGAAAATTTTACCTAGCAACTGGTCGAGGTATAAGTTTGTTTTTGCTAATAAGTTTGCTCGGAAACTAATGATTTGGCAAGGAATCTGCAGTTGTGGCCTTAAAACCAAGGTTTTCATCACATCTCACACAATGCGTCGAAGGTTTACATTAAAGAGTGTCTGAAAAAGCGGATTTTACACTTCATTCGGCAACACAAGACCAACGTTATGTTTTGATCGGATCTAGCCAGATGGACTCTAAGGAAGTACTAGAATGGTATGCTGCAAACAATGTTAATTTCGTCGCCAAAGAGATTAATCCTCCGAATTGGCCTGAGTTCAGACCGATAAAAAAATATTGGGCAATTGTCAAGCGAAAACTTCGAGGATGCGGTAAAGAAGTGACAAATGCACAACAAATGCGTTTAAAGTGGAATAAGTTCGCCGGTACAGTGTCACAAGCGAATGTGCAGATCATGATGGCATCGATCACAAGTAAAGTGCGACAGTTCGTTCGAAACGGAGAAATGTAGTAACTTGTTATATATCGTTTGAAAGCTGAATAAATACCCTTTTGTTTGACGTTTCGATCAACCGTGTATGCTGTTTAATTCTTGAGTTATGATCACTTGAATGCGTCCAAATTTACTTTGAATCGGGCTTTAAAGCATTTAAAAATATCCAAGAAAAAAGTTTCTCAAAAGTTATGATTAAGTTAGTGAACTTCAGAAAAACCGTTCTAGTTACGAATGTTTGAAGTCATTGTTTACAAAAGCTGTTGCGCCCTAATTCCAGCTCTATCTAGATATATCGATCTTCCATGCATGTGAGGTTAAACCGTATTAGTTCAATCCAACATACAAAATAGTTTCATAATATTGCATGTCAAATGCATGCATTGCAAAATGTCAAATTGAAACAATTGATCTTCTTTAGGATACAAAATTAAAAAAAATCTAATTTAATGTGAACGGTCATTAATAACATTTCTTCTCTTTTACTTTGCAGGTAAGCCAAAACAACAAGTCTAAGTGCACAGAACTGCCAAATTATCTACCCCACACAAGTTTCCGGTTACGTAATCGGAGAACCAGCTAATCGAATCAGCTAGTCACATCATAAGGTATTGCTAGCGCTTAATTTTCTAGATTTTCAAGATCAGCACTACATCGGAAAATTCACCAAAACCACCCACCCCCCACCTGTCCATGCTGATCGCCAATCAATTATCCCACACCCAGCGGATCACGCACGGGAAGTTTCCCCACCCATCGTCGATCCATTGGACCCCATCCGGCCCTCAGAACCAATCATTCATGTTTCCTTCGACACAGCACACCGCTGGAAGCTACGGATGCGCACCGGTCCGATCAGTCGGGTTGGTCGGTATACCGCAGACCTGTCGTTTTCCGCCTTCAACTTGCTTGCAGGTACAACAATCCACCTATCTCTCACACACTGCTCCCAAGTGACTCTCGCTAGCTTAGCATAAGCACACCATTTCCACCGCCGCAAGCGATCACCGATTCAACGACCAAGACGGCTACGACGACGCCACCACCTCCAACTTCAACAGGCAGTGAAGAAATAATGACACCCAGCATCCAGTCGTTGTCTTTCGTTTCTTCGTTCGTGGTCAGTTCCAGGAAATGCTCGAAGGAGCCTTTCCGCCCCGACTTCCCCGCCCCGTGTCCCAGTCGTCACAATCTATGCGCGCCGGTCACATTCTGACGACACAGGTTGTCGTAAAACGTTCAACGACGAAGACGATGGTCGGTCCCTCGCACGGCCATTAGCAACGGGCGATTGTTGATTTTTATACGGCAGATTTAAATCTTGCTTTTTTCCTTCATTCCGAAGCCCGATTAGATGTTTGTCTCCTGCTCCGATGCTTCTGCGACTGCGATCTACGTGCGGATGTGCGGAGAAGAAGCAACTCGGGGTCCCGGCGGCAGTGGACTAGTTCTCGCGAACAGAGCAATGCCATGGGAACTTTGGTCCCACCACCGTAATCAGAAGTGGCGAGGCTGAAATTAGTATCGTGAATTAATTAGTCTTTCGCCGTTCGAGGGTCCCAACCCGCTGCGCTGCGATGGCTGTGGATCTTTCTTTGCTTCGGGGGGCGAGCTCGGTTCGGCTGCTTTATTGATTTCCGATGTCGTTAGCTGATAAGCGCGTGAATTGAATGGTGCGCTTCATTTCCGCTTAATTAAGGGTACGCAACGTACCCTCGGTCGTCGTCGGTTGGTCAATCGCCGCCTTCGGCGGTTATGGGTGAGTTTCTAGTGAAAGTGAGCGACAACGATGACGGTTTGGTGATTACTGTGTTGAGCTCCCAATCGATCCTTGGTACTCAAATCCTGCTAAAGTCACACCGGAATTCCAGCCTCTATGAGTCACCGCCATTCACTCAAGATCCATCAGTCATTACCTACCGATATGTCGGTATACAAAAAAATACGACCCATCAAGAAGACCCCAAACAACGGCGAGTGGACCTCTCGCACCCCACCATCATCAAAACACCGCACCCGCCCGATTCCACTTTCGCACACGAAAATCAGCAGCCCTCTCAACAGAAAAGTGAGCATCTTGAGGTCTTGATTGGAAGAAAAGTACTTTGTCCGCCGAATAACTGAAAGGCCATCGACGAACATGGCGGCGTTGGCAGCAGCAGCATCAGAAGCAGCAGAAACAGCAGCCTTTTTTTTAGTGATGTGTGCTTCTTCTCTTTGGAGCACTTGTTCACACGATTAATGACGCGCTCAAGTACCTGTGAATCGACAGCCGCCGCCACCGCCAGCAATATCGCAAATCGGCGAGTCCTTGCCGCCGACCGACGCCGTCCCCGTCATCTTCTTTGTCGTGATTTTGATGAATCTTGAATGCTTAATTTTGAGGTCAGTTTCCATCGGGGAAAGGTCAATCAATGAAGCAGGTGAAAATGGACGGCTTAGAACACGCGCTCCAGGTCCGTCGTCCAGGTGATTTGGGAATGACTCAGCGCTAATGCAATCCTAGGGCAAATCAACAAATTGGTCCGGTCCGAATATGGAGCAAAAGCCAATTCCACCCATTATTGCCAGTAGGGTGCTGGGAAAGGGAAAATAAATAAAATCCTCCTCCAATGTGAAATCCTAAATTAATATTCATTTAGGGGTCTGCATAGAGAGGAACACAACTCTGGACGATTGGTGGAGGGGAGGAGGCAAAGGGACGTGAAAAAGCTCAACACGCTGTTGATGTTGTTATAAATGTTCAAGTGTATAAAATTCCACTTATGTACGGTAATATGAGAGCTGCCTTCTTCAGGCGGACCGTGTGAAGGCAACCTTCTGTATAGAGTCTAGAGTCGAGACGGGACGACACGGGGCGAGACGAGACGACTCAAAGAACGACGAGAGAAATGTGAGGGTGGGAAGCCGTTCAGTTTTCGTTTTCCAGAAGTGGCTCTGCTACTCTGCGACGACCGCATACATACCTGTGAACGAACGACGACGACGACAAGAGCCCAAAAATTCCCGGACCCTTGGAATGCCTACCCGATGGAGGGGTCGTGAACACGTGGGTAGGGAAGGATGAGGGGGATTTTTTGAGTGTTGCGTATGACTGAGAGAGGGAGAGAGGTGGGTGAGTGTGTGAGACGTTGTTGAGTTCAGCAATTGTGTGGATGCTGTGGCTTGGGATCCATCCATGCTACTCTTCATCTGCACTGTTTTGTCCGAACGAGTGCTGTCGTGGCTGAGTGCGGGTGCAAGTGAGCTAAATGAAGTTCGGGAAAAGGGTTCCGGAGCAATCCACGTAGATGGGGCTGGGGAGTTTACTGATTGAAGGGTGTAATCGTGTAAATCTGTTCAAAAAATCGTGTAGTAACACATTAAGCCATAAACTTCCAAACTATCAAAAAAGTGGCTTTGAAAACCCCAAAACAGCCAATATTTGGATTTCGAACTCAGATAATTTTCGCACGAAATTTAAAAAAATGCAGACCAAAATGTCTGAATTTATGCGACCCACCTGAGGGCAGCCTACGAACCACCGGTGGGTCGCGACCCATAGATTTAAAAACACTGCACTAGAGTTTTATGATGTTCCTGCATTTTCCTTACAGTTAAATGAACTGCCCTGAAGTTCTGTGATATTTCCTGATATTCACGAATATCTGTCATATTTTTTTGCAATATTCCTTAAGGTTTTGGTACTGACAATTACGGAAACCCTAAACATCTTTAAGCTTCCCAGAAAATCTGTGGACTTCTGTGAAATTTCCAAAAAATGCCAAATGCTTCAAAAAAAAAAAAAATTCAGGCTTCCCTGAGACTCCTGGAACTTCTTACAGATTCTCAAAATTTTTACTGACGCTCATGGTGCTGTC